CCCCCCTCCCCCCAGGCACACCTACATAAAATAAAAGGATCAGCTCCCCCACCTGTTTGGTGCAGACCTTACTAATCCATCCTTTCAGTCAGGGCTCAGTGAAGGCTGTCAGAGCTCCGGCCAAAAGGAACTGAGTGCCGGCACCACCAGTAGCAGCTATGCAGTCTGCATCTGACAGAGATTCAGACCGTGTAGCTGCTCCTGCAAGTCAGGTACGCGGTCCGTGACCGCATGCCTGACTTGTCAGCTGGCTACGGGCCACATGGCACCGGGCCAGTACTTTGAGACCCCTAATCTAAAGTGTACTCAAAGGGAAAGTTACTAACCAAAACGCATATCAAATGTAACTGAGTGCTCTGAACTATTCTCCAGCAGTAAAATAAGAAACAAACAACCTTCATGAAAACATTTACTAAGCATATTAAACAGTAAAATGCTTACCAATGGTGTATTCACCGCTTCCCCCTCTAGGAATGTTGATTCAGCCTGGCAGCTGCTTTGTGGGTATGGGAATGGCTCTACAGTGGAGGCTTCTAGAAGTATAGGCGCTCTCATCATCATCACATTTTGTGGCATGAGGTTCACTGGAGACACCACTGTGCTTGTCTATTGAGAAATGGGCAATAAAGGATCAAGTCAATAAATATTTCCAGATGGCATCAAAATGATACGCCATTTTCACAGCCCTGGTGCACCACCCATGGAGGTCAATAAATTCTATAAGTATATAAGTATACCAGCTCAACAATGTGACATATGTGCTTATAGCCACTGGAAAAGTAGTCAAGTTTAATATGAAACTGCCATTTTATATTACTAAACACACTCCAAACGAGACTATATATAGGAGTGCGGCAGTATTATAACACAAAGCACAATGGTGAGTAGCAATCCATAGCAAACAGTGAACAGTCTGAGCAATAAAATATTATTTCTTTAGCAACATAAGGTGTTTGCACAAGCTACACTCTCATTTAAGGTTCAATGTTTTAAAGAAGAACTTTGATTGTATGATTGTAAGTTCCTAAATGCTACTCATATTACATTTACAGTCATTGCCAAAATCCCAATCACATATAAAACATATAAAATGTATTTTTTCTTCATGCCACAACCTTTCTTAAAGGACTGTTCATTTCATCTGAATTTTTTATTATGGCTCCAGCTAAGCTGTCTCTATAAACCACTGCATGTCGTTCCTGAACACCTATTTCGGGGTGCACAATAGGCAAACCCCACTATCTATATGTATCTATATACTGCATTTCTATCATATTGTTTCATGTTTGGCAATTAAGACTGACAGGCAGCTGATTACAAAACCAATAGGAGCAGCACACTGGCATAGTGGTTAGCACTTCTGCTCTGTAGCACTGGGGGTCCCTGGTTTAAATCCTGGCCAGGTCACTATCTACAAGGAGGTTGCATGACCTCCCTGTGCTTGCGTGAGTTTCCTCCGGGTACTCTGGTTTCCTCCCACATTCCAAAGACATGTTGAAAGGTTAATTGGCTCCTGTCTAAAATGGCCCTGTATGTATGTATGTGAGATAGGGACCTTAGATTGTAAGCTTCTCTGGGGCAGGGACAGGTCACTATCTGCAAGGAGTTTGCATGATCTCCCTGTGCTTGCGTGGGTTTCCTCTGGGTACTCTGGTTTCCTCCCGTACTCAAAAGAGTCGGTAGGTAGCTGGTAGGTAAATTGGCCTTGTATGCATGTGAGATAGGGACCTTAGATTGTAAGCTCCTTTAGGACAGGGACTGATGTGAATGTGCACTGTGTAAATTGACGGTGCTATATAAATACTACTAATAAAAAATAGTATTGTACCATGTAAACTGTATAGACACTTTTCACTTTTCTGTTAAGGACATTCAGCTGGATGTGTGAATTATAATTGCAGTTGAGTAGAGAACCCAATAAATGTAAGGACTGCTTTGTGTTCTACAGTAATCCAGGGCCATCAGAGCCATACATTTAATTAACTGTAACTGACAAGGTAATTTCTGATGCTTTTAATATATACTGTGTAAATTGTACATCGTGATAACACTTTATGAAATTGATTTCTGGACTATAAAAGGTAGGACACCATTTTATTAGCGCCAATCCATTTTTCCATGATGGAAACACTATTCTGCTTTAGAAATCAATATAAACCTGTATGCATCTAATCTAATGAAGTGTAACCTTCTACACACAGTGTATGTTCACACTGTCATTACATGCATCATGTCGCCTACCCATTCCATGTAACATTTCACAGTAAACAGATGAATCTTTGACTCGCAAAGGTCAATTATTGTTATTTACGCTGATTGCAGAACTAGTCATGCTATGAATAAGGCATTTAAATGTAGGAAATGGAGCATCTGTGGAGTTAAATGTAATATATATCTAGTACTATGCCAGATCTAACAGTGTCTGATTATTTTTATGCACATCTCTTTTACTCAAAAATTACCAACTAATTTGATACACGCTATTAACATTTGTGTATGAAAATCAGCAGAATTTCCAAATCAACCAGAGAAAGCCAAGGTTATGCAATGACAACTAAATCTATTAAAACAGACTCCAAACAACAATTTAACTACTCCAGGAAGTTTATTCCTTAGCACAACCCCCTCCCTCTTTGCATATCATAGCCCTCTCCTCTTCTGGGAGTGTCTAATTACTCTCTGTGCTGGCCCTGCTCCTCTGGCCCTCCCTTCATCTTTCTACTTAAACTTTGATGTAGCTGCCAGGCACAATGCAAAGGGGAATACTATAAAGTGTTACAGTGCGTCTGCTAGGGCTGATTGCATCACATCCAAGATGATAGTGCTCAGCAGAAGTCTTGGGGCTTTCGGAGGTCTATACAAGGGAGGCTTTCACAGGTAAATAACATGCATACAAAAATGTAATATACATATATGATTTTATGGGAAGATTTTGGTTAAAATGAATGGTCTAGCGACAGGTCTCCTTAAAGCCACCTATTCATAAATAAGTTATATTCCTATAGTGTTTTTCCCCCTGAGCACTCAAAGCACTATATCTGCTGTTGGGGCAGATGGTGCAGGCAGCCATCTTGGGCACGTTCAGTAGAATATTATACTAGGGCCAATTAACCTAACAGCAAGTGTGGGATGAAACCCATACAAGCACAGGGAGAAAATGCAAACTCCATGCAGATAATGTCCTGACTAGGCCTATAACTGGATCCCAGTGCTGCAATGCAGAAATGCTAACCACTAAGCCACTGTGCTGCCCACCCAAAAATATAACATAAAACTAATTAATTAAAAATGAATTGTGTCTTAGAGCTGGGTCAAACTATTGCATTGAGATCACACATGCACATTGACCTGCAGTATCGTACATTTAACATGCATTGCATTAAGCAGTCCATTCATTTTGAACAGGCTGACAAAACTCTGCAATGCACTAAACTGTCCATGCACTATTTTTTTTTTACCCTGCACATTACAACGTACACATTTGCATCTGTGCACTGTGAGGCACTGTGTACGCAACACAATCTCCCTTTGCTTCATTCTTTTTCATGCTTTTGTGGTAATGCAGTAAAATAACAATAATAATAATAATGATAATAATAATTTCCAGAGTGTGGTTTTTAACAATGTTTCAATCTAGTTGTCTTCACTTGGATTTTTATGTAGTACCAAAATCAGTTTTTATATCAGCATCCAGTAACCTCTGTAAAGCAGGATTTTGACTGTACAGCAGTAACATCAGCCAATCAGGGTTTACTGCACTGCACAGCACGGTCAACTAAATACAGGAAGCTTCCTGATAGGAGAGATCCCAGCGATGACATCATCGGTAGTCACATAAATACTAAAGTAAGTATATTACAAACCTCCATAACATGTTCATCTATATGCTTTGCTCAGACAAGGGTTTAATGTGCTGCAACGGTAACTGGTTCACCTTCAAATACCATGTTAAGAAACTACCAGTTATCCTCTACAACAGACAGTCTGTGACCTTCACCAAGGTTGTCTTTACTTGCGACACCATGGATAAGATGAAAACATTTCATGAATGGATTAGGCAGCACATAGTGAACACAGGCTACTGCGTAAAACCTATTGTTCACTTAATGCTGGGAGACATGAAAGAACTCGCTATGGAGATAAGAGCTTAGATTTTACAGCACACTCTACACTCCTGTCACATGAAATCTTGACAGCTGCTTTCTTGGACTCCTTGTTCCTTTTTAAGAGATTATTTGCTAAGGATGCTGTGCAACAACCAGTTTATCTGTTATATCACAGTAATTATTGTTATTGACAGAACATTACCTCCTGTTGGCTTGGTTAATAAGCCATGCAGATCTGGATATGAGTTGGGAATGTAAAGTAAAAAAGGTTTATTACCAAGTCACGCCTAATTTAGACACCAGAAAAACTGACAGTCATCTCACTAAGCTGTAACCATTATTATTTAATATAATGACCGTTATTTTCCACAATGGGAGCCAATGAGAGTAGAAAATAACGATTATGGCAAATAACATATGCGTTCTAGCGAGTTGTGTTTGAATGGCCAGAAATAGTCTGGGCACAATAGCATTTTCTAGAATAGGCTTTCTTATCCAGGGTGCTGCAGCACCCTGGGGTGCTTCCTGGCTTTGTTGGGGGGGAGGGGGGGGCATTAAATGTGCCTACAGTGTCATGCATTTCCATTGAGCAGGCATGTTGCATGAAGCTAATCTAGGTTGGAGGCGTCCAGGACCGCACCCCTGCATTAGGAGGAGGACAGAGTTCCACCTTTATCCAGGTCAGCTCTGTTGGAAAAAGGCTGGGACAATGAGGACTACCCGCAAAGGAGAGGACAAGTTAAAAGGTCATATATATTAAATACGGCCTCATTTGTCTCAATATATTTATTGACCGAATGTGGCTTAAAGTTGTATTTATATTTAAACCTTGTTAATCTTCACCAGCTCAGACTGATAACATTATATATGCAGTTTATTGTGTCCGACCTTATGATCCAGTTACAGCTAGTGAGAATCACTATTAGATTAATTTAGAATGGGCCAGGAAGCATCAATAAACCATTTCAGGGAGTTCTCCTGCCTGATTTTACCCTAATTGTTTATTTTTTTGTTCACAGAAATAGATTTGTAATGGTATAGATCAGAGGTAGTCAAAGCCCTCTAATGGTGAAGTTACATATCCCATCATGCATCTGTCTCTGGCAGTCATGCTTGTGGTTGTCAATCTTGCAATGCCTTGTGGGCATTTGTAGTTTACCACAGCTGGGGGGCCAAAGTTTGGTTACCCCTGGTATAGATTAAAAGTATCACTGTAAGGAATAAGTAAAGAGCCCAACATAGATGTGTGTAGCAACTGAACTCCCCCATCATGTTGCTATTCTTATGGATGCCATGGAAAGCTCAGTGCCTATCATCAGTCTCCCAAGGTCAGTCCAGTCCAGGTCAAATGTCAAAGTTTGGAGACTGATTTGCAACTAATCTCTAGCCACGTTGCACCAAGTACAATAAAATCGAACTCAATTTTCAAAGTGGTGATGCGAAGGTGAGTGTAAGCTTTGTAATGTCCCCTCCGCACACCGTACCGTTATACCCCAGAATCCAACGGGCGCTGGTACAACTGGTGGATGGCGCCACAGTATACAATCTAGAAGATATGTTGTCCAAACACTTTGCCAGACAAAGGGGTCCTGTGAGGCTTCGAAACATTGCATTCACATGTCATGCTAAATAAATACGAATAAAGATGATATTCCGAAGCAGAATAGTGTGCAGACAACAATTCTCCTATCTAAGTATAAGCTTATCCACCCAATTTGCCATTGAAAAATTGAATTGTTTAGGTTTTTTATAGATGCAGTCAGAGAAAATGGATATCAAGACTTGCAATTCCATATAGACATACCTGTACTTTAATCATATGACTGTGTCTTTATGCATGCTAAGTGCCTTTCAAGGCTTTAGAAAAACACAATCTTGTTTGTTAGTGATGAGGTAGCCAAGCTATATAGTTACACGTCAATTCCATTGTGTGCATGTATGTAAAGAAGTCAGTAATCTGATAAATTTGTCACTCAAAGGTATAATTATAATAGTTTCTAACATACCCCACCCCTTAATAACAATGTACATGATTGTTCCAGTAACATTGCCTAACACAGACTGATATTACATAACCAGGACAAATAGTGTGGTTTTATTTCATTTACTTCAATGGAAACGGGGTGGGCCTATCTTTGGTTGATTTTTTTTCTTTTTTTACCAGAATTCAAAGTCTCTCCAGGCAAAATGAAAGCTGCTTACTGAAAAGCTCAACTTTCACTAAAAAGTGATACACATATAATTGCTGCACAAGTCATTTGATAATGAAATATTATTAAAGCTAACACCACTTGTTAAAAAACAATACAACATATATAACTCCTTTCCTTAAACTGGAAATAATGGGTTTTCCTTCAATCATAGTAATTTTAGCGATCTCCTGCTTTTGCAGTTTCCTTAAAGGAAAACTATGAGGCGAGTGATTTACACTTATCCTCATAGTTCGAGCCGACCTGTGACAATGAAACTGTCACATGTCGGCTCTATTGATCGGGAAGTGAGCAAACACATACCGTCACTCGCTCACTTTCAGATCATCTCCCTGCAGAGTGTGGTGACTATCAGTCCACGCTCCCCGCAGGGATCCCCCCCCCTCCTCTCCTATCCTCCAGCGCTGACTGGAGGAACGGACGGAGGAGAGGACGGGCACAGCTGGCTCTGCCTGTATATAGGCAGAGCCCACTGTCAATCAGCCAGCTGGGTGGATCTCGACAGTATTGTCGGGATCTGTCCCGGCTGCGGTGCTCTCAGTATATAGCGAGCTGTAGGTCGCTATATACGGTGCTTTGGGTCACGGGAGGAGGTTAGTATATGTCCTCCCGTGATCCTAAAGAGAACTATGGGATAAAATAGTTCTCGTTTGATGACAGCCATGGCCATCATTGTGTTGGAGAGCATAGGGAACCCAGGATGACTCTTTGTGTGATGGAGGCCCTTTAATGGTGTCAGGAGTGGCATATAGGAGTAGAGTACTGTAAAATCTTAATAAAAGTTCCCATTAGGACATTGAATTGCTTATGCTGCATGTTAATGATAACAAAAAAAATCACATTTCTGCAATACTGCAGTGCTGTTGCTGCTTAATTTCTAATTAATAATTTCTAATTACATGGAAACGCTTGCACAATTATCACATTATTATTATTATTCTCTAATGTTAAGTATAACTGTTTATGAAATGTTTTTAGCACCATGCTTGAAGATTAGCAACATAAGGTAAGATGGCATTTTATACCTTGGCAACTGTCTGCTCAGCAACTGTGCTTGGTCGTCGCTGGCGGGCATCAATCCTAGCCTCTACTGGAAAGCTGCTTCGGTGAGATTTAAGCCTCTCCACTAGCAGGTAATAGATTGCAGCAAAATGATTGTAACTGCGGTTCTGTAAGGACTGTAAATGAACACAAAAGATCATGTTAAGACAGTTGTATTAGCAAGAGAAATGTCTCATACACTTTCTCATTACAAAGGGGGTCTTGAAACGTCACTATCTGCATTGGACCACTCTTGTGTAGTAACACTGTGTTTGAGCTGAGCCACCTCAAAGTCATAAACCCATTCAGCAAAGAAATTTGATCTTTTTTATATATATTGGTGGCAAGGGAAAATTGAACAAATATTACCATAACAATGAATAATCTACAATATCAATGGAGTATTTTAGCATATTTGATCAAATGTTCGAAACAAAGCTTTGTGTATTGTTATGAATTAGGATTTCTATTTATTTTAAAAGTATAACCCAGGAGATTATTGTGAAAAGGAACTAAAGGAACCAAAAGACCTCTACTGAACCAGTGCATAGCAAAATAGAACCTTCTTGGAAAAGAAGGCATTCACTTGCCCTATTTTATCATACAGCCCCCCAAAAAGGGGATTATTCCTTGCTCAGGATAATTGGCAGAGCCATGAATATTATCCCTTCACATCTCAGTGGCTAACTGTACTTTCAGAAGCGCTGGTGTACGGTAACTATACAACCTAATGGAATGAGACAAGTGAATACCTTCTGTTCTAAGAAGGCTCTACTGTGCAATTTTTTGTTTAAATAAGTGTTGAAAGGAATGTACTGAAAGTTCATCAGGCATTCAGCCAATGAAGGCTAGTGAGTGAACACATGTCAGAAAGCAAGGTATGGGGCAGACCAGAAGGGCAACAGAAGAATGTGAAGATCAAGTGATTGTTAGACTGGAATTAATAATCAGAACAATTAATTCCACCCAGACCATAAATGTTTTAACAACCTAAGTCACTGGTAGAACAATTTACAATCATTAGCTTGAGGGCTTATTCACACCAGGTGCCTTGTCAAGAATTTTGCTGCATTTTACAGTAAATGCATAGGTATGAGATAAATGTTTGCATTGCAATTTAATGGGAAATCAGCCCTATAATCTGCCTTTGGTGTACACTGACCAGCAATTTGCCATTTGAGTCAGTTCAAATGGAGTCTTCCAAAATTGCAATATGCCTAATATGTCAGTGCACATCAATGGCATGCATTAACATGTGTTCTTGTGTGAACAAACCCTGGAGAAGGCCTTAGATCCCACGCCCCATTGCAGTATTAACCAATGATACCAAACCACTGCAAAGTAAAGTTGACTTGGTGTAGAGCATAAACTGATTTCTGACTCAATATGTGTTAGTCTGACCAAAGACAACTGTCTAGAGAAGATCAGGAGAATAGGTTTGTTAACTGGTGATATCAGAAGGAGTCTGAAGTCATTGTTTGACGGGATATCATAGTTTGGATTTTGTTGATAGAGTATAAAAAAATATATCATACCAATAATATGCTTAGCTCAGCCTTCACTAGACAAGCATTAGCTACAACATGGAGTGATCTTTAGGTCACCTGAACTATCCCACGTTGGACATCTTGGGAACATAACACACACAGATCCATTAGGCCAGGGAACACCATGATTAGAATATTTAAAATGCTAAATTATACATTCTTATTGAATCTTTCAAGCACCTTTTTGACTGAATGCCTAACAGAGCTAATGAAGGCATATTTGCCAATGAAGGTCATAACCCGTATTGAATGTCAATGAATAAACTCAATAAAGCTGTTTCAAATGATTTCAATGTGTAGTAATTTATTCTAGGTATTCTTTACAATTTTACAAAATGTGACCCAGATGTATAACCCTCCTCATTGGTATTGTAAATTCCAGTTCGACCATGATGTTTATAGGGCATTATTTTAATGGAATTTACAAGCTGTGAAACTAAATTTAACTGAGACTGTTACTCCGAAATGCCCCTTTAAAAGATGTTTCCCCATGTTATTGTTTAATATTCTAGTTTAACCAAGTAACCCTTAGTAAAATTTTACATTTGAATACTAATGTGAGCTTTCCTTCCAATTAGATAAATATTTGGATATTTCAGCTAAAGCACAAAAACATCAACCACTGAAAACTGATACTGGATGCTAGCAGTTTGGATCACCCACTGGTTCATAGATATTCAGCAGCGTTTTCACCAGTCTTTTTCCATAGAGTTACAGTCCTTATGTTGCATGGTTTGTAATTTGAAATACATTCAACAAGTAAAGTAAGAATGGCTTCCAATATCAGCATCAGGTCATCATCTTTCTGAAGTGCTTGAGAAAAATCAGCTAGTGGATGATTCAACTTATCAGCCTCATCCTAAAATATCAGTTAAGCTTAAATGTAATACCTCCCCACCCTCTCATCCATTTTCACTTTGTCTCACCTCTATTGTCTTTTGTTGGTCAACCCCCAAGCTATGCATGAGTCTCAGGACCTGTTCGTTGTGTTCCCCAATAGAGGCCTCCTTTTCATGACTCTGTGCGTAGAGGACAGGCCGGTGTACTGGCACCTCAGTCATCATCCACTTGTGCTCTTTGATCTGAGCAATGGATAAACGTTTTGAAGGCTCTAGCACCAGCATCCTCCTGATTAAGTGCTCACATTCTAGAAACAATTGAAAGGAAAAAAAAAATGTAAGTGTGATTGCATTCTTTGATGTAGAAGAAAACACTGAAAGTATCAAAAGCAAGAAATTGAACAGTACCAAATGCTCTCATTCCATTATCATATCAACTGATACATTTTAGTTTTGGATAATCTGGGGAAGTAGAGGTACTGCTACAAAATTACAAATGTATCCTATTTTTCCAATTTTCCTCACTGTAGGGTCAATATTCTAGGTGTATTCACCATGAGGTTAGTAGGAAAACAATATAATATAAAAATAACATTATATAATGTTATGAAAAAATATATATAGCAGGGAATGTAAAACAACTTAATAAAAGCCAAAACAAAACGGAAGAGCTGGGAGTTAAGTAGATGTAAGCCCTAACTGAATGGCGTTGTGTTTCCTAAAGCAACAACTGCCATGGTTATTTTGAATAAATATATGTTTTCACCTTTGTTGCATATTTGTGCCTCCTGCAGTTACTTTCCAGCCACATCCTGTCAACATGAATGCACCCCAGAGATGGCTGTATGGCATTTCTCTGGACAGATTTCCTGATGGTGATATCAGTGGACCATACTTGCATAATATGAGATTAAACAGCCACATGTACTGTCCAACAGAAGCCCATGTGACATGGTGACAACTTAGGAGTACAACTGGCAGACAGTGACAGTGTATAACTGGAAGTGCCTAAACAACGACCTACAAGTCAGGATCACCCAATATTATTTTAATGAGAGCTGCTGATTTAAACATTTTGAAATGGCATTACTTTTGACATGACACATGTAGAAGGAAGCATCTAGATCACTTGACGGAAACTGGAAGCAATTTTACGATTCTCAAGGATCACATTCCTTGAGCACATAAATTAACTTAGGCTGGGTTCACACCTAGGCGTTTTTCCGCGCTTTCGTACTCGCGGAAAAACGCTCAAACAGGGAAATGCCATTATTTTCAATGTGCATGGTTCCCATCTGGGCGGTTTTCCGCGAGTACGAACGTGCGGGAAACCGCCCTACGCCCAAAGAAGTACATGTACTTCTTTGGGGCGTTTTGGTATCCCTCGGAAACGCGCGTTTTTTTTTAACCGCGAATTGCGGTTAAAAAACGCGTGAAAAACGTGCATATTCAATCCGCCTAGGTGTGAACCCAGCCTTACTCAACTGCCTTATTACTGCTAATGGCAGTTGTCCTTTTATATTTAATTTTGGACTTGTTAAGAAAATTTATTTACTGATAAATAAAAATAAACTATCAGGAGAATCACAGTTTGGGGAAATTTGTCTAGGACAACTTTACAAAATTGTCTCTTACATCCACATCACCTTTACTATGACAAAGCTGGGCCCAGTGAGATTCATTGTGAGACATAAAAAGAAACAATCGGCTGTCATTGCCCTATCGTGTCATAACACGTATAAAAGGGTTAAATATATCAGAGGGGCCTCGAGGGATCATGCTTTAATGAATCTCCATACGTCACACACGTAGCCTGGGGTCTGTGTTTCCACCACAAAGAATCTGGAGAAAGATTATGGCTTTGTTTCCATTATTAATCCTGTCTCTCTTTGCTTGTAAACATCAGCAATGAAAGGAGGGTGAATGGATAAGGACGGTGATGACCCAGAAGCATTTCTGTCATGATGCTATAAGCTGGAAATCTCAGGAGCAATTCTACAGCAAGGTCAAAAACACAGCTTATTCTATTGACCACTACAGCAAGTCACAGGCCCTAAAGTGTATTTCCACTTTTTCAGCCAAATTAGGATAACACCTATTTTATATTTGTTACATGTTCTCATTCTCAAATCATAACATAAACAAGCAGTTAACACTTGTAGTGCAGGGGTAGCCCCATTGCAAGGGTTAATAACATTTTTCCCAGGAGTGTTTTAATGAGAGGAAGTCTGTCCCTGGTCATTCTATGGGGACAGCCAGAGTTTCCTGTCACTTGAAAATTGAGAGAGAAGCTTCCAAAGGCCGCTACACAGACACATCTAAAAGGTAAGAAATATTTAAAAAAAAAAGATTTTAGAAATGCTGTGTGAATAGGAACACAGAACAAACTTATAGTGAGGTTTATCACATTTGACTGCAAAAGTGGAACAACACTTGGATTAGAATTTCAAACATGGACCTGACAACATCATGAGACAATTAGAGATATATGTGGCTAAAAAAACTATAGTACACTGAGATGACCTTTAAAGTGGTCAGTTAAAAAGTTGATAAGATATAAAAATATAAAAAAACTTCATTTAAACTAGTAGTAATAGTAGGTAGTAATAGTAGGTTTCCACAATCCTCCCCATCATATCACTTGAACAAAGAGTTTTTTTGCATACTCCATCTTTTGGCACCATTACGCTATGTATAGACTGGTATTCCCCATGTCTGTACATACAACACGGCTGCATGCATTATGGACTCTCCAGACCAGTGGTTTCTAATATTTTTTCTGTCATATCAGAAGTATGCAAACATTTAAGGCACCCCAGTCTAAAATGTTAAAAAGGTAAATGTAATAAAGCGACGTGGCCCTTCCAAAATCCATAGCAGACCCTTTTTCTAAATAGGGGTACTGTATGGATTTTTAAGGAGCGACCCCATGTTTTTTACATGTTTATATTAACTCATATAAAGGGGCTCCCTCCTTTACAACAGCATCTCCCTTTAAACCTAAAGCCCCCCCTTCACACCAGAACCCCCTTTCACATCAAAGTCCCCCTTTAAATTAGGAACCCCCTACTTTTACATTAGAGTCCCCCCTCTCACATCAAAGCCCCCCTTCACATCAGAAACCTATTTGCACCATGGAAAGGCATGGTGCAGTGTGACAATTTTGAGATGCCCCAGAGGAAGCCAGAAGGCACCCTGGTTGAGAAGGGCTGCTCTAGACTTTATGTATCAGTGTGCCATTGCTCATAGTCTCCAGCTTGATTCAAAGCACAGCTTTCCATTTGATTGGTGACTATGGACAAACTTTCAGTTTGCTTGATAACACAAGCCTTCTATCAGTCAGCTCTATGGTGCCTATAGGTGTCCATATACACAAATGCAGGGATAGGCAACCTTGGCATCAGGCTGTTGTGGATCTACAAGCCCCATGTGGCATTACAAGTCACAGCCATGATTTCTAGAAGAGGCAGGGTGAGCTTTGCAATTGCACCACAGCTGAAGTGCTGGGTTTGCCTACCCCTGCACTAATATCTTGAAAACTCTCTGCTCTCTATCCATATGCTTCTTGTCAGCAGATGAACAGATTGGCTCCTTGTACTACTTCTTTCTCTTACACTGCAACTCTGCTGTACAAGGACTGCAAAAAGGCTGATTTCAGGCCACATTCAGGTACTTACACTGCATACATTTACAATTTACATTTAGCTTTGTAGTAATTAACATAGTGCTGCATCATATGTGCTCTTTTACATCTGCCTGGAGTTCAGCTTTATGTCCAAGCATTGAAGAGCAGGAGTGTTACTTCAAGATGGCATCCTTTTTCCATCAACGTTACCAAACAAGATCCCAGGAGAGGTATTTTGATTGCAAACACAAAATTAATTAAATGACGTTCAGTAAAATGAAGTCAGTTAAGGTGCTTTGTAAATTGCTAGAAAAATAAACACGCATGCAAACTGAACCAATACTGCAATCTTTTAATTATCAAGAGTCAATTAATTTACAGAAACATCAAGGAGATGTGTGCTGACAATGATGCTAGGAAGGTTTGTCCACTCGGGAACATGTTGCTTATGAAAAGATGAATGATGTGGAAGGAAACCCCTAGTGCTCATCTAGTTATTAAGACCACAAATGCAAAGAACTCGGCGTTACATCCCTTAAAGGTCAGATATGCAGAAACCATAGAGGCAAAGGCTGTGTGGTACAGGTTTAATGCACATAAAATATCATAAATACATTTTTGACATTTTCTTGTTAGAGAGAATGTCAAGGACCAAAATTCCCAATATATTAAAGAGAACAGGTCATGACCAAGTTAATGCAAGATTCTGATTAACTGGTCTTATTAAAGGAGTTCTAAAGTCACAGCATATACTATCTTGTTATACCATCAGCACTGTTACAGCACTATGACACCACTAAGGGTGAAAAATACACTGCCTAATTCCTGGTGGATCAGTGGAATGTATGATCTCTAGTGGTCCAGTAATAATCTAATCTCTAGCAGTCATGTGGAAAGTAGACTTTTTGATCTCTGGAGACAATGGAGTCATGTCATTTTCTTTCAATGTCAATCCCAATGGGCCACTGCACCTGTTACGTTTCTTTCTACTAAGTCAATCCAGTCTTGTGGACAGTCTAGTTCAGGAATGAGAAATTCAGAAAAAGAGATGTGACTATGGTGTATTGGGCTAAGTTCATAAATATGCTAAAAGGGAGCACTTACCAAGCTCTCCCCAAATACTGAGCAGAAAAGGACACCCTACAGTGTTTACAATGATCTAAATATTGTGCTTGGGTTGTGCTAGGCATTGACCACAATCTGATGGCCGAAAGAACACAGACGTTGGATCTTTATTACTCTTCACATCCAGCAAACATGGCTTTAATGAAATACTACAATGCAGAGTTATAAGGTAAAAACGTACCTCTCCCCTGCTTCCCCACCTGCCCGTTCAGTAACCTGAACCCTATTCCTTAAAGTAAATCTGTCATTATGCATATTCCGGGCAAAAAAAAAAGGTTGTTTTGAAAGCTTGTCCCCTTAACCACTAATACCTCTCTCTCTTTTGCGTCCCCACCTGCCCGTTCACTAACCTGAACACTAAGTGAAAAGTCCTGTACGACCTATAAGTAGGTGGTAAGCATTGCAATGTATGAAGAAAAAGGAGAGAGTTACATCTTCCCCTTAAAGAAATTTGTATTCTATAGTATTTTGGCTTTGCAAACAGGACCATAGGGCAATGTGAGGAAGATAACTATTGACAAGAAAAGGGGTAGGCTATTAACTAAACCCATTACTTTGCCCAAAATAAGGCAAAGTGATGGGTTTACTTTTTATAAAAATACATTTAAGCTGACACAGGTATGCAAAGTTAGGGCCTTGTTGTAAAAAGCATCTTATATGCTCACACAATATGAATACAAATATGCTGCCAAAATCTGATGGCAAACTCAGAATGATGATGACATTTTAACAGCAACTATTTTGCTTACTATGTCACTGCTTTCAGTTCTGGCATCTTTTCTTCCACGAAACTGAAATAGATTACAGTGCAACCTCATATTATAGGCCACAGAAAGTCAATCTGAGAGTCTATGGATTGTGTGGAGCCACAAAGCCCAGTAGGCCTTCACTCTCACAGAAGCTGTAAGACATGTCTTGACATAACTGGAATTTGCTTTAAATGATACTGTATAAAAATATTCTGTACACATGTTGTAAAGTGTGAAATCCTAGCACCTTTATGGCAATCAGGGAAGAAGGTGTCAAATTAATTTGCAGTAGTTAAGAACAACAAACATGTGTACACCTGACAACACTTCCACCCTTAATATTGCTTAACACAGGCATTTTCTCTTCCCAGGTTATAGCTATAGGCACCTACCTATTATTATGGAGCATGTGAAAATCTTGTCTGCCTTCTAATTATAATGGGCTAGACATACATTGCTGATGCACTGCTATATTTCAAGACACGTGTATGCAACCACACATTTCAGGTGACTCAACAGTGTAGGCTATAGCATAAGCATATTCCAATCAAAGAATACTTTTAGTTTTTAGAGACCTGTCTCTGAGTTCCTTAGTGTACATGAACACGGAAAGAATTCTGGGAAGGTCATATTGTTAAGCCCCTATAGAGATCATGGCAGTGTGGAAGAGAAAAAATTCCTAATTCTTTAACAATTATTTTTCCTAAATTTATATGCTTGGCAACTATCACTTTAATTCTTTGTAGTGACATGCATATCACCTTTAAAAAGGTTGGGGCATATTATGCGGGGAGCACAGAGTAATATGCACATCAATAAAAAGGAATCCATAATGTAAAGCAGGGCCAGCCAAGTAATGAATATGTAGACAATCAGTGTAATCCACTTGCAGTCCTAGACACATCTGTGCTGGAACATTTTGCACCACAACCATTTTCCAGAATCTTTCAGGTCCATGTAAGTGTTTTCAAAATCTGACACTTATTTAGGTGAAGGGGCAGACTGACATGTCCTGGACGTAACTAGAACTATGACTTTCAAGAATGTGACATAGAGATGTCATTTGCACACGATACTCATATTGCCCCACATCACTAAATTACATGATCATAACAAAATCTACAGTAGAATAGCAATAACTTCAGTCCACCAGGAACTGGTATATCAGACCTTGTATATACATGTGGCACGGTTATGCTACATAGCAGAAATGAAGACTAGGTAATTAATAAGTAAATACCTTCAGACATAAAATATGGTATTCGAAATCTCCCTTCCAGAACCCTTTGTCTCAGTATGGGGAGTGTAGGACCGTCAAATGGTAATGCACCACATACCAGGACATACAGAACAACACCCATACTCTGCAAAAAAAGAAAATTAAAGACACAAGTTGTTATCATTCAGTTAGTAGTAAGTAAAGTGATCTTGCACTCTATTTTACACTTATAAAAAAAGTCCTGCCTAAAAAAAGTCTGTTGTTACAATTGTCTGCCAAAAAAAAAGCTTCTCCTTTGCCCCTCTCCGATTTAGTTATTTATTTTTGGTATTCATATAGTGCTGAAAATGTGCACAAAATTATACATGAGTCTAAGGTCCCTATCTCACATGCATATAGGGCCAATTTAGAAAGGAGCCAATTAACTTTACAGCATGTCTTTTGGATTGTGGGAGGAAACTGGAGTATCCAAAGGAAACCCAGGCAAGCACAGGGAGAGCTTGCAAACTCCTTGCAGATAGTGTTTACTGTCCCATCAATCTCAGTGGCCAGTAAGGGCAGTCTTATTGGACTAGGGGATGATAGTTGGCGGAGCTTACCTATGAAGTCAGGGAAAGTCAAACCTCAGAAACTAACAGGGTTATTCACAAAGCTGCCGAACGCAGTCGAGTGAATAACGCACCCGAAGTGAAGTGAGCCGAACACTGTTCGGCTATTTACCTCAGGCTTGTACGGCTGCCCCGTTTCAGCTGTCACTTCGGCTCAGTCAGGCCGAAGCATATGCCTTCGGCTCAGCCGAGCCACTCGGCCGCCTTCTGGAGCTGTACAGGCTATAGTGAATAGCCCCTACAGCAGCCCTTTCGGTGCAACTGAACCGAAGGGCTCCCGCAACCGAAGCTAGCCAAAGGATCAGCCGGAGCTACAGCTGATCCTTCGGCTAGCTTTGTGAATAACTCCCTAAGTGAAAGTAAATCATAGGGGTGCCACAAAAAATGCTTTTTTTTTTAAATAATGGCAATGACGGGCACTTGTAGTGTCTGCTCTCAGGTGGGACTACAGGTTTATTCTGATATTTGTTTTATATGCTTATCCACCTGAATTTGGGTAACTGATTACTGTTACAATAATAACAATACAACAAAAGAAAAACATAAATGTTACTATTGATCTCGAATGTTGGTCTGCACCAGGGCCTTTTATTAACCTATTACTTCTGGCAATAACATGACAGAAGCATAAAGACTGTGGGGACCTGCTGATGTGAATGATGCCCAGGCAGCATGGGTTGTTTGCTTCTTGATGAAAATATAAAGGATCACATTTTAATATATCAGGCCCAGGTACACTTCACTTCACATTTTAATGAATCAAGCTGGATTCACACCACTTGCGTTGTGTGTTTAGCACACTAAACATACTTTAGTTGACGTGCATTGACATGCTTTATGTTGTGCAATGATGTGCATTTTAATTTTTTTGAGGTTCACAGCTGAAGCCAAAATTGTTTTTATTCTTAATGTGAGCTGTTAACTCATTGCAGGGTGTTGCACTGCATTTAAAAGCAGCATGTTATCCAGTGCACACCAATGCAACACTTTGGTGTGAACTGGGCCTTTTAAAACAATAGATTTCAGCAACGTGGTATGAATGGGTGTTTAGGTAGGGCTGATTTATAAAAATTGGGCAGTTGCACCAGGACCACCAGGTTGGGGGGACCCCACCACCAGACTCCCCAACAGTCCTGCAGTGCTGCTGTTTGTCTGCCTAATTTATGCAGTGCAGCCCATCCTCCTTACCTTCACCTATGTAGTGATGCAGGTGGACTTCTAGAGCAAGGTCCTGCTGTGCCAAAAAGTACTAGCGCTAATCAGCACAGAGGGACACAGAGGAGGAAGAATTTGAGAAGGGTCCTACTGTACTGATAAGTACCACAGCTCGTCACTGAAATTGGCACAGCGGGGCCCTAGGAAGCCAGAGTTTTAGGGGAAGGGACTCACTATGCAGATTACAGTAATGATCAGCAGGACTTACTGTATACAGGTCATATTAGGCTGTGCCCCCATAATCCTAAACTGTTGAAGGGAGGGAGAGGTCTGTCATGTTAACTAATATAGGGCCCATCTATGAGATGTTTGCCTTGGGACCACCTATATCTTAAAACAGCCCAGTATTAGGCCCAGGTGCACCTCCTGTCACATTTTAGTGTGTCAGGCACAGAATTTCACAGAAAGTTTTATTGTTTTGCTTAAATCAGTTTGCAGTTATATGGCCAGTTTGGATGCAAGCAGTTCTTAGTCTTTGGGATTAATTCAAATGAATACAAACTCACGTAATTTGCTATGAAACATGCATAAATAAACTGCGAAAGGGATTAAAGTGAATCCGACTATCAAAGAGACATTTCTGAAACAAAAGGAGCAGAAATTGTGCCGGAGGTAAAATACTTCTTTTGAATCTCTGGGAGACACTCTCCCAGAGTGATATGCACATGCCCATGTCGATGAGTCACTTCGATGTCACACTCCTTTTTTTAAGTTAGTTACAAAAGTTAAAAACTGTCTAAATGTGCTTAACATATGCAATAGACATAATGAGTGAAGAGTATTTCACATTTTAACATGGGAACTGCTGCCAAATGGAGTTGGATGCATTAAACTGCAAACAGAGAACAGAACCATGTGCTTATTTTCTGGCATAGGATTGCTATTTGATTTCCGCCCGATTCATCGTTTGCATGTCAGTAAGATATATGCTGATTTATCCCTGCCAGGCTCGTTGGAGTAGTAACTACGTCCTGCCTTAGGTGATATGAGGGCATACAAGACTTAGATCAGAAACTGCTGCGCGTGACATCCCAGCTATAACAGACTTGTGCTTTCAAACTCATTTATAATTTTTTTGGTTCTGTTTTACTTTAAATTATTATAGAACTATCAAGTTAATGAAATGAGTAACAGCAGTGTAAGCATGTATGTTGCATTCTTTAAAGATTCTTGCAGGATAAAGTTCACTTTATATGATTTAACACACAAAATATACTGAATTCATTACCCATATATCCAGCTGTGGTCCCTCGTACTGTTGCCCTTCAAACACTTCTGGAGCCGCATATGGTGGGCTTCCACACCACGTTGCTAGAGGCTCTCCGGTCTTGTAAAAGTTGCCAAAACCAAAGTCTGTAGATAAAAGAAATATTGTTGCTTAAAGTAAAGCAAAGCAATGCTGATAACATGTTATACATAACTATCCTGTACAATATGTACAAGGAAAGCTGCTTTAAATTGCATGCGGTAGGGAGCATGTTTTTTTAAAACATGTGTTACACTGTTACTGGCCCATTTTGCATGGCATTTTTAATATACTTTGTGACAGCAGTACAAGAAATATGTAGGAACAGGTCTCCTTTCTGTAGCCCCTTCTAAAAAACACAGTTGTGCGTTGAGATGCATTTAAATGCATTATACTGCATTTCTCCGAGCTTCTATTAACATTGAATGGGGCTAAAATCACACCTAACTAGAGGCAGCCAACATTTTAATATTTTTAATGCAACTTAGTTGGACACTGCACGGGAATCAGGCATACATATGATGACTATATACCTAGCAAGCACTAAAGTACTTGGAATGCATAGTGCAAGACAATATGATCGCCAACTTTGCGTGTTAGGAACACAACTGGTGCCACAGAGATAAAATGTTGAAAGTGCAGGCAAATGCCGGCATGTTGTAACAATATCAATAATTTAGTGTACACATGCGATCCTCTCAAGTCCATTTATGCATACAGCTCTATATTTGCAAAGCCTGATTTGTGGTTTGTTGAAATATCTTGCAGATAAGGGTCCTTGGATACTAAAACAGGACACGAAGAAGGAACAAAGCTCGGTAAACCACCGCACCCATTAATAAATTGCATTTTAATGTCCTGACGTCTTTAAACTGGAAGATGAAATATGAATGGATGTGATATGTCACTACAAATCACTGTTCTTGCTTAGAAAATGCTATTTTCAAACAAAACAAATGTACTGTCAGTACCACAGTGTAATTTATATGTTGAAAGCAAATGTTATAAGGAGATATATGAAGAATTACAAATCAAAACCCAATTATATACTGCAGCCTTGACGCAGTCCACTTGCCTGAATTATTAGAAAGCTGTAAAAGTCACTCATAACCAGTAACAATGCTAGTGTATGAGAAAACATCATGGCCATTAGGGATGTTCAGATACCAAGTGCAAGTACAGATACGTTTCCAGCTCCAAGACTGGACTAGAGAAAAACTCAACATTTAGGAGGCAGCTGTCATTTTTAAGGAGCATACGGGGCTCCTGGGAATTGTGCATCCCTGTTTTAATGTATGATGTGTGATATATATATATACTGGACAATTAAAGAGCAGCCCTACTGCAAAGTTTAATAGAAGTTCTGCCCGTAGTTCTATAAGGAAATACATTTAATGAGTTATTAATACATTTAAAGCTGCATTCATTTGTGTCTCTGATATCTGCCTTTAATTACATATTATGGTATATTTTTCTATCGGGCTTACTTTCACTACAACGCATGTAATGTCTGGACCGCTGCCCTAAGGGCAAGACCTTCATTGTTGCTTACTTCAAACGTCAAATCTAGAACTAGACAGGAATGCAGACTTCTAAGGTCCTTGCCGTCCTAACAGGAACATTCCCGATCCCGACTGATGTGGCCTTCAAAGACGCTTTCTACCATTACAGGATTGTAATGCAAACCTTCTGTTGTGTGCATAGATGCTAAACTATCTTTCAGTGTGTTAATTAGGGAGAGCTTGTTTCTCATTTTATACCGCATTATTCCTTCCCATTCATGGCTTAACACATTTATATGCTTTTCCCAAGGGCACTGATGCTGTCTGCTGTCGGCAAGGTTGTCTGGGTTCTTTCTAATGAAAAAATCCCCCTTTTTCACGCACAATCTACTCAATGAGCTCTTCTTATTATAAACATCATTGACTGGATAACATTTTCTGTCATGCACATGAGATGTCCCAATAAAGTCCATAACTACATGAAATGTAAGCCAGCATAAGAGAAGTAATAAACGGTACTGCTGACAATATGGCAGGGACTGTACGTCCACAATGAATGAAACCCCGGGCAACAATGATAACAGTCAACATCTGTGCTCAATATTATTAAGCTTTCAACAATACGTTTTGAAATCATCACTAAGGCTCCGTTCACACACCGCGCAAACTTTAACATACGCCTGGATTCCGCACGCTTGCGGCTATTACTATAGCCGAAACACGCGGAATCCGCCCATAAAATTGTGCTTGTACTATTTTGCAGGACGCATGGTTTTGTACCGCGCAGCCGCCACAAAGTCTGAACAATGCACATCGTAATGCATTGTTTTTTAATGTTTAGAGCGGTTCCTCGCATATTTGGCCGTGTGAAATTAGCCTGAGAGTTTTTAGCTTAATCTTAGGCTCTATTTTTATTCCTTTGCACATATACTTTATCTTCCACTAATGATCACTTTTCTGATTATAATCTCCATGTTAATAGTGTTTTATAATTACTATATAGTGGTTTATTTTACCACTCAAATGGTTAGAGTGTATGTATAGCCAGAACGCTTTTTTTTTTAAAGTTTTGGATAAAATAAAAAAAATCTTCAGAACCATAAACTACTTCATTTTTGTTCTTATTTTTTGTGTCCCATTGGAGACATAACAGAAATCTCTCGGAAATAAGAACCCCCCCTTGCAAGAGATCAGGTGTCTACATTGGAAGATTTGCCCTCACCTCTTAAATGATGATGATGAATCGGCCGAAATTCACTCAGTCAGTGGCCCAGTTTGCTGACTCCCACCCAACATCTTTTGATTCAGAAATTGAAGGAGTCAGGTGGAAAATTTTTGGCTGAACAGCACCTGTATCCAATTAAATTCAGGTAACGCTTAGGTATTTTGATAGCTGTAGAGACCAACTGTCAATGTACAGTAGCTGTAGCCGGAGATTTCTCCATGCACACTGTTTAGCCCACTGAACAAAATAAATAAATAAAATAAATCTACTAGTGTATACCCAGCTTTAGATATTTGAAGGGGCCAAACAACCCATGAAGTGGGGTCATCACTCTTTCTTTACTAATCTCTGTACCTCACCCCACCCAGCAACTCTGTGTATTTATTAGCCTTAGGAGCATCTGAGCATCTTCTATCATCAGAATTTTCACATTTATTCAATAAAAGATCTGTAGTCTGACAGGCCAAATATATTTTCTTGCTTTAGGAAGGTTGAGGAGTCGTAGTGTCTGGAACACAGGAATACTACAAGAGGAGAGTAGCCACTGCTTCTTCTGTAGTTTCAGCTGCCATGAGACCAGTTCCTATGCCCAAAAGATAACAAGTGTAAAAAATGAGACACTTGAATTGGTTGAAAAAAAACCTTTCAGCACGCTTGTTCAGGACAATCATGAAAATGTGTAAATGGTAGCCAACAATGTCTGAAAACTGTGACATCAGCAGGAATACTTTGCATTTTCTATTTATTTAGCAAGGAAAAGAGCAAAATTCCAAGTACAATAGCAAACAACCAAAACTGAATATATCCTTAAAGGAGAACTATGAGGTGAGTGCTTTTCACTCACCTCATAGTTCTAGCCGACCTGTGACAATGAGACTGTCACAGGTCAGCTCAGTAGATCGGGAAGTGAGCAAACACATACCAGCGTTCGCTCACCTCTCGATTCTGTCACAGCTCTCTTGTGGACAGGGGAGGGGCTAGATTCCCCCCTCCCCGCTCCGATCCGCCAGCGCTGACTGGCGGAACGGACGGGGCGGGTACAGCTGGCTCTGCCTCTCGATAGGCAGAGCCAGCTGTCACTCACGCAGCTGGGCGGATCCAGACATAATTGTCGGGATCCGCTTCAGCTGCGGCGTTTCAGCTGTAGCTCGCGGTATACTGAGCTTAGGGTGACGGGAGGATGCTAGTTTGTGTCCTCCCGTTACCCTAAGGAGCACTATGGGGAAAAGCCTTAACCCCATAGTTCTCCTTTAAAGGAGTTGTAAAGTCCCAGAATATTCTCTCCTGTTATAACATCAGCATTGTAATAGGAATACATACTAGAGTTGTTTTTGATAATACAATCAAAGCTTACTTGAAAAAATCCCTTTTATGTAGTGAGTACTACCCTCCGTCTGCCCATCATTTTCAAGAAACATCCTGGATGTGCATGGTGACTCTTTCCCTGCAGCTTAATGTGATGCAGTTTCTCAAGACTACATATCCCATCATGCATTGCTTGGGAGGTTCAGACATTGAGTTGCAGTTAAGACTACAGGCTTAGTTATAGCGGTGCTAGTGCATTTACACAGGGCTGAGTGAAACTGTGTCACAGCGTTGAGGGAGTACATCCTATGGGCATCTTCAATAAGTAAGTTACAAACGTATTAGGAGTGGGATAGAACTTATAGAAATGTAATATAGAAATATGATTCACAATAGTGACATCAAATTTGATTGGTTGCTATAGGTTACTGCACATAACATTGCTTTACCAATGATAGTTTGTGATCGTTTAGAGAATGGGAAAGTCGTCCCAAGTTGGGGTAAGCAGGCTGATAGGCTGATTTCAAAACAGCTGCAATCTTGAGGACTGTTCTTGGCTGTTGAGTGAATCAGATCAGCATTACTGGATGGCTCACAGACATGTGCAAGCGATGTGGCTTGCTGAAAAACAGCAGAGACGCCCTTGTGAAGCATGTGGTCAGGATCCCTCCAGTGCTGAAGAGCTTGTGCACGCAAACCTGAATCCAATAAACAGCAGAGGTCTCTGAGGGGCGGAATGACAGAAATGTGTCAGGACACACTTAATGGAGTGAACATGACAGTATGTTGCCCACCATCACATATACCTTTGACAGCTCTCTGAATACCAAGCCTGTCAATCTTTCTCTGTTACATAACTCCAATCTGTAATTACTGGGGTTGGGAATACAAGACACACAGAGAACGGAGTGTTCCTGAGCTACTGTAGGAACGTCATCACTGGGTCAGATCAGTGACTTTCACTGTAAACACTGTACCTCTATCATCATGTGTTCCGTATTCCATTCTGGAAGCACACAAAGAGTTATACATAATAGAATGTAGGCCTTTATATCACTGTTCTACTAGCTCAGAT